CATTAACAGCCAGTTAAAATCCTGCGATCACAATTGAGGTTAGAACAAAAACCAGCATACACCGTGGGTCCCCAGGAACAACGTAGAAGACCACTGGTTGAAATTATTGATGAAAAACACATTCCATTCCCAGAAGTACATTTGTTATATGATAGCTATACACAACAACAGGTCTTAGTTTTATGGGATGGCTGCAAGTCGCGATACTTGGCTGTTACAGATGGAGTAGAGGATGGTGGGGTTTTATCTACTTTTATCTACTTTTTTTACATAGATGAACTAATGGCTGTGTGTTGACAACATCAGATGTTGGTTGTCATGTTGGCCTTTCTTTTGTTGGCGGTCTTGGGTATGCTGATAATATCATGATGATTAGTCCAACCCTTCAGGGTTAAAAAAATTTTGGTATTTGCGTAGAATCTGCAGCTGAATACAATATTCTATTTTATCCCAAGAAGACTGTGTGTACCAAGTTTGGGTCTCCTTTCACTAATGATGATAGAGTTATTCTCAATGGCTGTTTGATACAATGGATAGATCAAGTTACGCATCTTGGTAACATTGATACTATTAATCGTAATGATTCCAATGACTGTGATCTTAAGAAGTGCATATTCAATGGTTCTGTGATTAAACTCATTGGCATTTATGGCAAATTGCCATCTGAGGTTTTATGTGAGCTTTTTAAAAGTTACTGCTGTTCCTTTTACGGTTCTCAAGTATTGGACTTAACGTCTAAAGGCTTGTTATCATGTTACTGTTAGTGGAACAACGCCATAAGCAGACTGCTCAAGTTACCTCGTAGTAGTCATACGTGGTTACTTGGTCTACTGATTGGCTAGCCACAAATTAGCACTCAATTTACTGTCAAAACTTTATGTTTTATTCATGGTATGTTGAACAGTACAAACATTTTTGTATCATACATGGTTTTTATTGCCAAGCGTTGTGCCAGGTCATTCACTGTCAAACACATCGCATATGTCAGATGTAAATATTGTATAGAAGTAGATGACAAAATGTCTGTAAATGCATCTCGTGTTACTCGTCATCATGTCTATACTAAATATCAGCGTGGAACTATTGATAATGTTTTAACTGCCCTAAATGCAAAGCATAGACTATGTGTAATTGCTGCTTATGATTGCCGTATGATTAATGCTATGTAACAAAGTGCAGCCGGTGATTAAATGTACATGTATTATGATTATTACTTCTTTGTCTCTTTCCTTGTTAATATGTTCTGGATGTGAATGCTTACTGTTCCACTTGTTTATTGTTAAATGGTTTTATATTCAATGTGTCCTGCGGGTACAAATGAAAGAAAAACGTGTAATTGGTCATGATCTGCTGATATGGTTTGCAATTGGATTGATGTTGCCTTTACATTCTTACAGTCTATTTCTGAGCAGGCAAGCTCCGTACGTTAGGACACAAAAAACCCAGAGAATATGTTGGGTGGGAATCTGACCCAAGTGAATTATTTGGAAGGTAGCCATGCTGTCCATTGTGACACTAAAAGATACTGAGGTACAGCGCGCTCGTTTTCTCGTCTACATCCATTGACTTGAGATCTGACCAGTTTTACTGTCTGAAAAGGAATTTATAGTAATAAAAAGCTGATTCCCAATTATGGCCGGATCCAGAGGGGTGCAGGGTTGGGCTACGCCCCCCCAGATTTTCGCTGCGCCCCCCCAGCTCCTCCTGATGTACTGACGCATACCTCAGCCCATGAACTGCATGCTTCAGCCAAAATGTAAAGATCGTTCAATCATTTAACTGCATTTTTTTTTCAAATGAATTCCCTTGATGTTTCTGATTGGCTGGTTGACCACTGGCAACTTAGCCTATAGCTCCACCTCCACAGTCACTGATAAATCTGATTTCGCTCAGGGTTTCTTACCTATCTCGTCTCGTATCGAGTATCAGCCGTATTAGACAGCGATCCCATTAACTTTTAATTGTACAATTAACTTCTATTAATAAATATTGATATACCATACCTTAATTTCAGTTTAAACCCTATTTTTACTCTTTTCACACTTCATGGTAAATACAGTCTTTCAGTGAACGTAATAGGTAAGATACTAAGTATATTCTGGTAGCTTGGTTGCCCACAAAACCTTTTTTTTCTTTGTGTGCGAGTTCATTCAAATGAAATGAGAAAAATCGGATCGATTTTTGATCAGCGAAACATCTCCTAGCTCAGATACATCTAGAACAAGACCTACTCAAGAGCAGGCAGAGCGCGTGGTGGTAACGTTAGCTCTTCTTTCTCTCGTGGTGCGGAGATTATTGTGACTGTGATACAGTCAGTGAGCATTTCCGCACCAGAGACAGTCAGAGCCGCTGGAACCGTGCAGCCCAGGTGGACGCCTTCCTCCACGGCCTGGCGGACTACCCCAAGGATGAGCTGGTCTCGTACAAGGTTCCCCCCACACTCAACGGAATCATCGAGCTAGCCATCAGAATTGACCTCCACATCCAGCCTCATAGGTGGGAGAGACGTCAGGGGGCTCTCCACTGCCAGACACCAGCCTGGTACAGAGCGGGTCCCACCCGATCATCCACCTCGCCTATTCCGCAGATGGAGGAGTCTGAGCTTGTGCAGCTGGACCGCACCCCTCTCACCCCAGAAGAACGGGAGCGTCGACGACGCCTGAACCTGTGCCTGCACTGTGGGAAGGAGGGTCACTTTGTCTCAGCCTGTCCGGGAAAAGCCAAGGCTCACCTGTAGCCAGGGAGGCACGGGTGAGCTCGACAACACTACCTCCATACAACCACAGACTGCATCTCCAAGCCTGGCTCCTCCTTCCTGACTGTCCCCTCACCTTGCCTGCCCAGGTGGATTCGGATGCTGATGCTAGCATCATGAGCGAGGAGTTGGCCCAGCAGTTGAGGCTTGGTCGGGTTCCTCTGCCTCATTTGGTCCTTGCCCGAGCTCTATACGACCACCGACTGGGTACCATTACCCACCGGACCAACCTGGTTCCCATGCTCCTGTCCGGCAATCATCACGAGACCATCCAGTTCCACATCCTGAACTCTCCTGGCCTGCTGTTAATCCTGGGCTATCCTTGGCTTTGTCAACATAACCCCCACATTGACTGGGAGACCGGCTCCATTCGTGAGTGGAGAACATCCTGCCACTTCACCTGCCTTAAACAGGACTCCTCGCCGTTCCACTGTCCCACCACTGATCCTTCACCTGATGTCTCTGGGGTGCCTGCTGAATACCATGATCTCTGGCAGGTCTTCAGCAAGGCCAAGGCCACCTCTCTGCCCCTAATCGTCCCTCCGACTGTGCCATGGGCCTCTGCCTGGCACTTCGCTCCCTAGAGGCCGCCTGTACTCTCTGTCTGCCCCTGAAAGGAAGGCCATGGAGACTTATATTAACGACTCCCTGGCTGCAGGCCTCATTCGCCCCTCCTCGTCTCCTGCTGGGGCGGGCTTCTTTGTAGAGAAGAAAGATAAGACCTTGCGACCCTGCATTGATTATCGGGGCTTGAATTAAATCACAGTCAAGAATCGCTATCCCCTGCCATCTCATCTCTTCCGCCTTCGAACTACTTCAGGGTGCCACCATCTTCACCAAGCTCGATCTCCGCAATGCCTATCACCTAGTCCACATCAGAGAGGGGGACAAATGGAAGACAGCATTGAACACCACTGCAGGTTACTAGGAATACCTGGTCATGCTTTTCGGTCTCACCAACGCTCCGGTCGTCTTCCAAGCCCTGGTTAACGACGTACTCCGTGACATGCTTTACCACTTTGTCTTTGTTTACTTGGACGACGTCTTCATCTTCTCAAAGACTAGGAAAGAGCATGTTCATCATGTCCAATCTGTGCTTCAGTGCCTCCTTGAGAACTCCCTGGTTGTTAAGGCAGAGAAATGCGAATTCCATGCTTCATCTGTCTCGTTCCTGGGGTACATTGTGGCTACGGGAAGCATCCGGATGGATCTGGTGAAGGTCTCTGCAGTCACCTCCTGGCCTGTTCCTGACTCCCGCAAACAACTGCAATGCTTCTTGGGCTTCGCCAATTTCTATCGCCACTTCATTCACAACTACAGTTCAGTAGCCGCCCCTCTTACTGCCCTCACCAGCTCCAAGCTGCTCTTCCAGTGGTCCCCTGCTGCCGACAACGCCTTCCAGACCCTGAAAACCAGAATTACCTCTGCGCCTATCCTCCAGATGCCAGACCCAGATCGCCAGTTTGTGGTGGACGTGGACGCCTCCGACGTGGGGGTAGGGGCTGTCCTGTCTCAAAGATCCACCTCTGACCAGAAGCTTTACCCCTGCGCCTTCTTCTCTTGGCGTCTGTTTCTTGCCGAGAGGAACTACGACATCGGGAACAGGGAGCTGTTAGCAGTGAAGCTGGTGCTAGAGGAATGGCGGCATTGGTTGGAAGGCGCTAAGGAACCCCTCTTAGTATGGACCGACCACAAGAACCTTGAGTACATCCACACTACCAAGAGGCTGAACTCCCGCCAGGCCCGCTGGTCCCTCTTCTTCACCCGTTTTAACTTCACTCTCTCCTACAGCCCGGGGTCCCGCAACACCAAGCCTGATGCCCTGTTCCAGCAGTTCCTGAAGGGGGAAGATTTAGCTGAGGGGCCTGCTTCCATCCTTCCCTCCCCCTGTGTCGTAGCCATCCCGTCCTGGGACATTGAGGAGAGAGGGAGGGCCGCCGCTGAGGGTCAACCTGGTCCCAGCACCTGTCCCCCCAACTGTCTTTACGTCGTTGCAGCATGCACTACTCTCCAGCCTTTGTCTTTGGTCTGACTTCCTGGAATTGACTCTGCCTGCCTCTGACTGCGTCCTCTCGTTCCTGCCCCGGTAAACCTGATAGCCTTCTGCCTCTGACTCTGAGTTCAGCCTGTTTGTCTCCTGGTTCCTGTCTGCCGTCTCCCAAGTCCCTGTCCAAGCCACCTGTCTTGGTGCTCCGCTGCCTGCCTGTATGGACACGTTCCTGTCTGCCAAACTTCAAGCCAGCCTGCCCCAATGGCCCAGTGGTAACTCTCCCACCTGCCGTGTGGACGACCTGGGTTCAAATCCCGCCATCGGCGCCTGCTCCCTCAAGTTCCCGGAAAGGCTCCACTTAAGATCTACAAGTTCCTGATCCTGATCTTCACCAAGCTACCCTGCTTTGCATTCTGTTTACCCCTGCCCAGAAATCATTAAAAGCCTGTATAGATTCATTGGTGTTGTGTTGCATTTGGATCCTGCCACTCCCCGTGACAGTTATAGCATTATTTATTTATTTTGCTTGAGTGTATGAGTGTGTGGAGGGATGGGTTGGGGGATCTTTGGGCCTCCGTATACCCACCACAAGAAACTAGACCACCATTGAGTACCATTACACCCTTGTTGGTCGAGGGGTATGATTCTCACTTAGAGTGCGAGAGATCCTGAGTTCAACTCCCCAACGAGCCCTTGGCATGGTGCTTGGTTGTGATCCCGAATATCTGCTTGTCTATTCTGGTTATGCTCTCGAGAGGTTGCATTATTGCACAAAATTAGGAGTGGTTCCTCATGCTGCTACCTGTGACATGCCAGTATACCAGGAGAATAGTATTTAGAAATATATCAGTATGGGGGGCGCTGTTACCAATATGTCAGATCTGACAAAACTAGGTGTGCCAAGGAGAAGCTCAAACTTCGGGATTTTCTGTTACACGTATATGGGCACCGTTCTGCCAAATCTCATGCAATTCTGAGATGTCAACTCCACTAAGTATCTCAAAAGTGCCAAAAAAAAAACCTACAACATTCTGTTTGCTCTAGTTTGTGAGCCCCCCACCTAACCCTGAATTTACTTGAGCGGTGAGTCTGGGAATAAGTCTCTTTTAAATTTACAAGATTATCTCACTCGTCTTCTCGTCAACTTGTGATCCAGCCAAATGCCCAAGTATTTAAAATAGGGAACAAGTGCAATTTGGGCACCCTGCACCATATAAAATAAGAAGGTCATGGGGGTCTATTTTTAAAAATTTGGAGAATACCATGAACTTGGCTTTGTCTGCATTTAAGACAAGCTTCAACTCAATAGAGGAACAGAATTAAAATTATGCTGAAGATGGGATACCGCCTGCTACACTGAAGAAGCAGTCGAGTATCATCAGTATCATCATGACAGTATCATCAGTATATAAGTGCCATTTACAACAATCTAAGGATAAGCCAAAATTATTAATGCTGATTTAAAAATTACACGCGGCCAAGAATTGAACCTTGTGGCATTCCTCTGCTGATTCTCTTCTGATCTTCTCTTTATTTTCTGCACTTCATCCAGCAACATTATGGTTCTTGGAGATACGAATATCCACATTGATTCTCCTTCCTGCTGTTATGCCTCAGAATTTCTTCAGCTGTTGGAATGCCTTAACCCTTTCGCAGGCACAGCGACATTTTTGTCGTTTTAACCAACGTGTTTTATAAAGTCTTCTTTAAATTCCCCGATTGCGGGAATTCTCTTGTTAGTTACACTCATTACCATTGGCTGTCTCTCAGGTCACCCAGCACTGTATTTTTAGCCGTGAACGAGGCATGGGATTTCCTAAAACGCTAAATACTGAGACTACTTCCGGTCAAATTGTGGGACATGTGAACATGGCATCGACGTACAAATAAATTCTAGCCGTGTTTCTAAACGTAAATTCTGGATGAAGTTTTTGCTTTATTGAATGACTCTGACGAAGTTTGAATATCCAGAGAGCAGGATGAAGGATCCAAACGATTTTGCTGAGAGGATTAAAACATAAAAACATCAGTTATGGGAAACTTATTATGAGATTTGGTGTTGTTTTATTGTTATTTTGAATAACAATCATATTTTGGTAAAAACCCAAAATTAATCCGTCCGTGGGGGTATGCATCTGGGCCAAAATTTGCCTGCGAAAGGGTTAAGGGGAGGAGAAACCCAAAAATCACTTCAATCTGCTCAAGAACAGGATAATCAATCAGAGGGAGCAGGAGGGAGAAGTTTATGCTTCAGGGGCATTTTAATGTTCTAAGTTGACTGTTACAATGATTTGTAGGTGTACTTTGACTTTAACCTGGATTTTCTCAAAACCTGATTTTTGCTGCGATTGCTATCATTTAAGGCACTATATCTCACTTATTTGTGGAGCTTTTCTCATGAAATTTTGACAGAAGTCTGTGTCCATATCAGGAAGTCTACTGAACTAAAAGTTTTGGTTTAGCACTTTGGGTCTGTGAGTTATGGTGATTTAAATTTCATATTGTGGGGGCGAAAAATGGCAAAATCTTCTTTTACCCCACTAAATCTCTAGTATTATGTGTAAATGCTTTATTCTAGTTCAGAAGAAGGTGTAAACATAACTAAATCTAATTAAAAAAACCTGATTCAAATATCTTGCTTCAGTCCTGAGTTATAAGGCAAAGAAATAATGGTGAAATCGGGGTGGCGGCCATCTTGAATCACATGACCTAATTATGCAAATTAGGTCAAATTCATATTTTGTGTATTTCAGGTCATATACTGTCAATACACCAAGTATGAATGATTTCAAACCAAAAATGACCATTTTTTTCCAAAAGGTTTCTCCTCCCCTTAATCTTAGGCAACGTGCTGATGTCCCAACACCCACCAGGGGGCATATCCTTGATCTGGTCATCACTGACCCTGCCCCTATATACCATATTCTTGTAACTTACCTGGGTATGTCAGACCACAAGGCCATCTTTATCAAGCTTTCATTCCCATCACCCAATCTTAAGAACAAGCGCCAAATCACCTTCAGGGACCTAAAGAACATTATCCCAGAGGCCATGACAGTTGACCGCCAGCATCATCTCTCTATAACCCCCGATCAGTTGACCACAACAATAAAACTCTGAGCAGCCTCTTGGACCTCCAAGCCCCAGTCAAAACCCGGTTTGTCAGCTTCTTCCATTTTGCCCCCTGGAACAACAGGGAGTTGCGGGAAATGAAAACAACCGGCCGTGCTCTTGAGTGCCGCTATAAAGCCTCGGGTCTGACTGTTCATAAATTAAAATGATAATGCTTTTAATAAACAAACTTTTAACAGTGACATTCCTTTGTGGATTTACAGCATTCTCCAACCCCAAAATCAATATATATCTTTTCAACCCCCTTGGATTGGCAGGAAAATAAACCATCACAAAGCCTTAAGTAGGGCTTTTTTTGAGCTCATCGAATTACAAAACCCAGAAGTATATTGAGTAGTTGAAATAAGCTCAACCTTTAACATCTACGGCAGCAAAATGCAAAAACGCAGAGTTGTCATACTTTTTACTTGCATAATGGTTCTGAATATTTCTTCATGACTGAAAAAACTTAATTTTAATATTAAAAAATAAAACCACTGCTCAGTGGAAAAGGGCTGACTAGATTGATAGGCTTTGAATTTAACCTATCCAAGTTCTCCACAATAAACATCTAGCTTTTGTTCATTTACCAATTTGTCTTCTTTCCCTAAACCAGCCCAGACCCCGGTACTGCAGGTGAACCTGTGTCCCTGTGCTGGACATTCTTTGGTGAAGAAGACACCAAGCCTGATTTTCGGCTAAGCAGGCAGGCCCTGGCAGTGCTGCTGACGACCTCAATCGGGAACGAAGACATAGATGGGGCGCCACAATCGAGACCCTGCTTTTTTTGTTTTGGCTGTCGAGTGTATACTTGTACAGATCATTTTAAGACTTTTTAAAAAGCACTCAGTGGTTTTTTTATGCATTTCGAATGTTTTTGTCGTAAATAGTTGTCTGTTATAGATGAATTAAGAATAAACGATGGATTTAACAAAACTTTAATTTAAAAAAAAAATTATTTCTGCAATATTGTCTCATGTAGAGACAGGAGCCTGTCCATCCTATCCTTGCTCTCTTGAGCTCTCCTTTCCTCTCTCTGCCATCTCATGTCTTCTGTCAAGAGCTCTTGTTCCTGTTCCCTCCTGCTGTCGCTCCTCCTCCTCTGCCATCAGATGACCTGAAGCAGAAACCTCATCATATCATTTTAAGCCACAATGAGCCTCTGCATACCATACTCATCACCATAAAAACAATACATAGAAATGTATCAATTTTTAGTAATTTAATTTCATATGGAACAATCAATTCATCCACAGCTTTGTGTTGAGCGGACTGAAATCCACTCATTTACAGTGAGCAATACTTAATAATGCATAAAGAAAAAACAAAAATATCACTCATAGTGCTGCTTTTTTTATGGTCATGAATATACTTCCTGCGCATAAAAAAAGCTATGAAATTGCCACAGTCTAGCCATGATATAAATCAACATTTGAACATTTAAAGTTTAAAACTGAAGGCATTAAGCAAACATTTTTCCAAGATATTCACTTTTTAAACTAAGAATTATTATCAAAATAAAACACTGAGTTTCTGCAGCATCACATCAGTGGTTGCCATGGCAATGTCTGTTTTCATGAATATATAGATACTTAGAGAAACAGAGTTATTGAGATAACTAAACAGTGTTTGGTTAAATTTCAGCTGTAACGTGAAGGAAAAAACATTCCTGATGTCACTACAGAGCTTTTTTCCATGTTTCTATGTTCTAGTATTGATTTTGACCCCCCTAAATCAATTTCAGTGGGAAACAGCTAATTAAATATGCATATTTTGATTTACTCATATTCAGAGGTACATATTGCAAAAGAGCTCTGTACAGACGTAGATCATCACAAAATGAAGAAAACTGCCAAATATGAAGTTAATTGGTTGCACAGTTGCGGAGAAATCTGTATTTTCTTGTTGAAAATCTGTATTTTTAGAAAAAAAAACGTTATTTTAGTTCAGCAGTAATAATGTGATTGAAGTTTGACAGTAATGTTCTCAGGAGGAATAGATTTAGTATTTTGTTTTTAGTGGTTTTTAGGATTTTTTTACCTCCTTAAAAGGCACCAGCCTCATAAATAACTCCCTCTTCTTCAATCTGTTTCTTCTCTAGTTTTACGTGCTTGTCGAGCGTCTAGTTTCTTTTTTTCAAGTTCTAGTGCGCGTTTTTCACTCTCTCACACGTTTTCTGTCCATTTCGTGATAGCCTTTCATTGAGTGTGCCCCTGCCTTTATGTCAAGTTTCATCAGAATGGAGGCAATTCCTCGTTGGTCATCATTGAAAATCACCACATTTATAGCTGTTCCAGCCTTGAAGACAGTGTTCGTGACGAATGTTTCATTTGGAACACAACTCCATATTACGGACTATTTAAAGGACCACTTCATGTTCTTACCTCATGTTATGTCCCTGGTCTCGGGGTGTACAGAGACACAACATTGAGGTGACCCTCCCGCTCTCCCACTCCCAAGAAGGGCCAGCAGCACAGAAAACTGTAACTTTATGCAGTTTATTTTCTCAGTGTGGAGTAACCTTTAAAAAAAATAAACAAAACAAGCCCTAAAAAAAAATAACCTGTACCCAAAAACAAAAA